GAAGCATGACTTCATAATCAGGTTTATTATCATTACCGGACTGATAGTTTAAGTTAATTTTAATTTATGATGAATACAACATGACCGATTACTAAGTAGTTGAGTAAATAACCCTCAGTTACCATCGCTACTTAGAAAATAATCAGTGGAATAAAATGCGTTGGAGTTTCTTTCTTAGTAGCTATAATTAGGACAGAGTATCCCAAGTGTCTATTATGCTCAAAACCCGACTTCTTACTCATGCCTCCAAAAATTTTGCAGGTGGGTTACTCAACATAACATTGACTGCTTTAGGGATTCCGTAACTCATATAAGTTGCAATATTTTAACCAACGTCTTACTTTAGTCCCGTTTCTTCACTTATGGATGCTATATTTCCAAAGAATTTGGTAACTGTACACCGAGATGCAAAAAGGAATGATGTACAGCACTATCATCTTGTAAATGACTTTTAGCGCTTCCCTTGAATATGAAAGAGGTTTTATTTTCCTGCGTAGTGGATTTCTTAGGGTGAATATGCTCGTATATAAAAAATAAAATGTCATTATCAACCAGGTACTATAGTAATCAGTTATTTACAGATAAGAACAAAAAATGATTATTGGTCAAAAACATTTACTCTATATTTATTCATTTTTCAATAAAAAAGTATACTTTTCCTTCCCCTTAACAACAGTCCAATTGCAACTTGGAAAATACGTCTGAAATAAAGTTGATCAACAATGTGGCATCAACTAGGCAAATGAATTTAAACTAGATGAAAAATATTCCACGAACTCAGTAATAAAATGTTCAAGAAAACTCTGAACTGAAGTAAATCATTTTAATAAAAAGAAGATAGTCAAAGGTTTGATGTCATATAAATGAAATGTGTCATATCCATGTCACAGCAACCGAAAACTTTTTTCAGATGATTATTACACTTGCAATGATAGCACCAAAAATCAGACGTTACTACCAACTGGGTGATGACTGAAGGTGAGTCAGAAATTTGGGTAGTGGCAGGATACGGTCATCAGCCAGTGTCAGTACAAGTCTGTCAAACTGTGACTGTCTCAGATAATCACACCGATAATTCCTTAATTATTATGGAGTTCAATCAAATGTTTCTCACCAATGGGTTTATTTTCCAAAAACAAAAACCGATGGTTCACTTGTTTCATCCATGAAACATCCACAAAAATCGTAGATCCTAATCTGTATGACAAAAGTGGTAAACTGATGAAAATACAAATAGGAACTGAAATATCTCGCAGCTTTATCTTGGTTAATTGCGCACTTAGTGAGTGATTCATGGTATACTAAATGACTGAGATAAATTTACTGAATTCATTTTAGCGGCCAACTTTGAATACTGTGGACCGAATTTTTCTGGTAGGTTTTCAATAGTCTTTACTCTGAATGAGGCAAAAGACTACTTGCTGTTTAAACTACCCAAATTTTTCGATGAGAATCTACTGATGATAAGTATGTATGACAACTTGCTAATGACATCTTTCAGTTACACATCTAACAAACTGTTTCTTATTAACAGTCTCAGTAAACACAATCGTAAAAGAAAAAGTTGAAATAAGGGTTTATAAAGTCCTTTATAATTTTCATTCTTACGACATTAATTAATTTTCAGCAAGTAATCCATTCATTTCTTCATAATAAAGAGTGGAGACTGTGGACAACTACAAACCTCCGAAGTAGGCTTGGTGAAAATTATGGGATTGTCTTTTTTTGGTGATTTAACAGTGTCGGAAGAAAGGTAGAAAAGGTTTAGATAGAAATCTCTTTAAAGACAACAAGTTCGTACTTTGTTAGTTGTGATAAAGCTGAGATTCCTTTCAAAAGGATACATTACAAAATGAAACGTTCCGATGCCTTTTCTATAGACGAGACAAGTCAGATAAACGTTGAGGTTATCCTATCTAATTTAAAGAAATCAAACATAAAAAATATATTGAAAACATTGAAATACATCCATTTAACCGTATAAAAAGTGAAGAAAAACCTCTTCTTCTAGACGAGGTAATTCGCTAAGCTGACCATTGGTGAATACATACTAGGAAGAGTTGATCATTCAGGGATTATTTCCGGTCAGGGATCAAAATATACTGAATAACGAAAGAAAGTTACGTTATACAAATAAGGATTAAGAGTAGAAAAATAAACATGGGATTTAGAAAATGAATGTAAATAATATTCAAAACATTTCCTCATATTTGTTGACCGGAAATATAAGTGTTTCATTCATTCATGTTTAGAAAAGACTAGTTGAATGGACAATTGCAGACATCGTGTAGCACAACAGAATACATTAATACTAACATAGCGAAATAAACAGATGGCTGCATTTCAGTCAGTTGGTGAGCCCAGATTAGATGGGAATGTTTGGCAAACTAAAGTTAAAATATGCTGTATATGTACAATCGTTGCATATACTTTAAAACAGGTATGTTTGGGCAAGCAAAACTTCTGAAAGATTTTATCAAATGTAGCTATATAACATGTGTATACTTTCAGAAAATGCAGTTGGGACACGACAAGATACAAACTGAAGATTCATGCGAATTAGTTGATAAAAATTTGAAATCTAAACAGTATATGCAGCAATTATTGACAGCTCCAAAGAAGACCTTATTTATGAGTGTTGATTTCAAAGGTGATACAGCAGCGGAAATCCTGATGAATCAACCATTCACTTGCACGAAAAAAAGTTTTTCTTCGTCAACCTGCAGATCAGGTTCTCTAGTTGATCCCAAAATGAGATAAGACCAAGCTGTGGCTTTGAACGACTTCGATATGTCTCTGCAAATTTACTTGGTCTTGTGCAGCTACTCACATAGACTTCGATGAGCTCACACATTTTGAAGGATTCTCCGATCGTTATCCCATATATTTGTGGTGGCAAGAGCGCAAATCAATTATTCATTCAATTCTTGAACACTTTTCTCAACTCTGGATATATAACTTCACAAGAATCTTCCTTCAATATCATTTATACAGTCAAAGTGAACACCTCAAAAGCAGTGCGTATTCGAAACTTGCGCATGGTAGAAGCACTGGTAATTCACTAATTCGAACTTGATCTTTGCGTGAAGAGGTATATTCAATCTCCTATCTTGCCATGGCCTTCCTCTTCCACATTCTTTTATTTTTATGACTTAATGATTTTATTTAAATTAACTGTTTAACTATTATCATCTTCATTTCCACCCTTACTGTTTTCTTCACCTTCCAAACATCTATCAAGTGGACACTCAATCATCGCATTTCACATCTAGCAACAATTTTAACCTTGTAGAACTCTTTGCCGTTTTTGTTGTGTGCATTGTCTGATGGATTATTATGCGACCCTTTTTCACCTCATATTTCATTTTAACAATACCCTAATAACTCAAATATACCTGTTTATTAATAAACTGTTATACTGGTTATCATTTCATTATCTGAGATAGCCAGAGTTTGGCAGACTAGTATTTATACTGGGTGAACCCAAATGGTAGTCCTGCAAAACCCTTGGTGATTGAAGTGAAATTAAAATCTGATTAGTAGTCGGACCTCGTAGCTCAGTTGGTAGAGTAGCGGGCCGGAAGCCCAGCAGTCGCTGGTTCGAATCCAGCCACAGCTCAACCTTTCATTTCACCCTCAATCACTACCCAGTATGAAGACTGTTATGTGTCTGGGATAAAAGTAAATACGGTTGTACAGGTATGGAAGACGACATCGCCGAAAAGAAAGTTTTCTTCGCAGAATTATCTGTTGTTTTCATAACATAAAATAATTGCAGCTGGTGTTCTTCTTGTAACAAGATCTGTATCCAGACTCCCCTTTTAGAGTCAATTTGCATTTTAAAGTAGTTAGTAAAAAGTAGAAATAACAGAGTTAACTCATAACATCAAAGTATTCTAAGAAACGAAAAAATGTCACAGTTTTTATGATTCGTGACTTTCAACAAAATAATTGCCGCAGTATAAAAAAGATTTACTGCTACATACTGTAGCGTCAATATCTACGCATTATGATGCACATTCGATCATAAAATAAGTTACATCAAGCAAAGATGAGCAAAAGTTAACCTTCTCGGTGATATGGTTGCAGGAGAAATCCCATCCTATTTACTACTTAATATAGTCAATGCTGACAGGAGCGGTGAATGCAACGTTTTGTTAGTTATAAACAGATGTGAAAAGACTAGTGAACTCATAAAGATTAGTACCAGGTTTAATAAAGTGTAAAGTAATCTGGACATTAAAAAGCAGTGACAGGAAAATAATATATCTTAGAGATTGTATGAATAGGCTTATTCAAGAGACTACTTTTATGCCCGTAAAATTAGCCTGATAACCACCACACATTTGACACTTCAATCTGGTATCAGGGAAAAACTATCTCATCTATTCTTACCGAAGGCCACCTGTAAGTACAACTCTATCAAAGCAGTTATATATAGATCAAAAACAGAGGAATTAATTTACAGACGTATAGAGGACTTAGAATTTGCTTCAATTGGTAGATCAAGCAAAACCCGTTGCAATGTATAAAGCAGTAAGATTTTTGTCACAGCCCTTCACAGTGTTACCGATATGCAGATGACTCATCATAAAAACAAGTTTAAAATCCAAGTGTGAATGTTTAGAAGAATAAAATAAGCAATCAGAAAAACGTATAAACTTCGTGTATAGATTGAGATGCTCGAAATGTGTGCTGTGGAAACTCAACTGTTGCCCACATTGATATATATGACCTAATGAAGTGAGAATAAGATGAAAGAAGCTTCTTCATGACGATGATGTAATATTATTATATGTAAATATCTTTTAATAAATCATCTGGTTTCAAAAATGAAAGATTCACAAATTCTAGTGTTATAGCTACATTATTTAGGTTAATAAAAATGAATATTTCTGTACATTAAGTGTGGCTAGAAGATACGCAAAAAGCAGTACCATGGGTTCCAAATATACTTTATGGTGTAAAAATTTATGTTTGATAAATGAAAATAAACTTACGTCTTCCAACTCTTCATAGAACTCATAAAGTTGTGCCTTTTCTTGTAAATATGCAATTCTTTCATCTGTTTTAATTCGATTTGCCTCATACCTTTGAAAAATGTATGAAATATATTAAAATAAAGTTAAATATGGAAACAAAGTTAGTAAGATCATATTATTTAGCGTATGATTTTATGCAAGTATTTTTCGTAGATGAATGATTCTCGATAAAAAGAACCGTTTATTTGTTTGCATAATAATTTTTCAATCTGAAGTGAATTAGGAAAAAACTTCTCTTTATTCAAGATTAAATCTTAATCTTAATAAGTCTGCAGTAATTTGATAGCTAGGTTAGTTCCTGTACTAGATTAGGAGTATTCAGGAAAGTTTAGTTTCCCGTTCCAATAATGAGAACTTCCTGTCTAACTTCATTTCATTCGCTCAAACGCTCTTCAAGCACATGTCTAAGCAACTACAAAACGACCAGATGCCCTACAAACTCAATTGAACTCTGGATGCTATATAAATCTTCTAGTACATAAATTTTGAATTTATAAGGGTTTTTCACACTTTTGGAAGCTTTCATGCTTAGCAATTGAAAGTGAATGTTTGAGTAGTATGCAATTTCAGAGACGCAAATAGTCTGATGTTTGTTCTGACACCCTAGACAATAGACACTGGGCTCTGGTCCCTGTGTGAAACACTAACATGGATGCAGGTAGATAAGTTTTACCAATAAAAACGTATTACGAATTTAACTGCTAGTCCCTATCAGTTAACAAAATTACTTTTTATTCATCACCAATATCGATTTTAAATCAATATCTGTACCAGATTTATTTCTGAACACCAGATTATTTTAGTTAACGCATGAGTTACTTAACATAAGACGTGGTACAAATTCAGAAAATTAATATTCGTATTGCTGTTTTACTTGGTGTAATTGAGATTTAGCTTGTTTCGTACACATAGTAGATCGACACACAAATCATAGATACAAGAGCCTGTGAAAGTAGTAGTGGATATGTTTAGCAATATCTCAGCCATCTGGAAAGCTGAAACTTTCCAAGTTAATTCTTTCAATACTGATTGACGACTGAAGGTGAGATGAAAATTTTGATGGCCGCATCGTTCAAAAGAATGGCCTTGCAGTTACTGTAATTAGTATAGGAAATCACAAAAAGCTACACTCTTATTTCACTTGGCAAGGAGAATACCACAGTTATACATATTCTTGAGTATTGATGATGAAAATCATTTACCCCAATATTCATGGGTAATGGCTTCAATTTCCAAACTTAATTTATCATATCACACAATCAATCTTTTATACTCAAAGTTTTGTAGATCTCATATTTCACTTAATAAATAGCCTTATAGACCAATTCCTGCTCAACAAAATCTAATGGACAGTAAATTTTTGGAGGAAAAATAGCAAATATGAATAAGCTTGATTAAGTAATTTACTATTACATACACATTAAATACACGTAGTTCGTAAATTGAAAGATTGAAACTTTCAGACAATGTATCATATTTAGCAATAGAAAATTATCAAATGTATGACATAAACGTATTTATGTGAGTACAATAACAAAATAAGTTTATTTAAATAAGATTAGAGTGAAATGCTTTTTCACAGCTTTACCTAAAACTTCATTTCCAGGTAACATATCAATAAAAATGTATTGACTAGGATATATTCTAGCAGATACATCGCTTCACATCTCATACTTATGGATACCAATCAACGACATTGAGGGGAAATGAATATTGAAAAGAGATATGAGTATCGAAGCATAACGGTTATTTAAACTGCATGCCACTTCAGAAGTCAGAAATCTTGATTCCAGCTAATGGTTGATTGAAGATAGCTGATTTATACTCAATATTCAACGATTTATACCCCATTTTATATGGAGACACTAACAGTTTTTCAAAATAACTGTTTTAAACAGATTTTAATTAAGGTTGAGCGTTATTTCACTACAAAATCAGGTTATCAATAAACTTGCAGTAAATTCTTTTTCTGACTAAAACTGTAGGCATATAAACATTATAAGAGTATACTTTAAAATAATCAGAGCAAGATATTTCTGAACATTTTGATGTGCAAGCCACAACTTCTACAGAGGAATAAAAATCCGTTTATTTAATTTAGAATCTAGTGAAGTTATCTGCGAAACGTTTCTTACGTGAAATTAGAAGAGAATAAACCAAATTTGTTTTGTTTTACATTCATTGGGAAATACAAATAACAAAATAGTGAGACTTCTTCCCTAATGTCCATATTTTTTCTAACCATGAAATCCCAGCTTGTTTTGGATATATGTATATATCCTTAGACATGTAAACATGAGAGTGGACCATCAATGAAATATATTTTGTCGGCGCTTAAAAAGTGCTCTACAGACTCCACTCTTGATGACTACTTAGTTCGTCGGTAAATAAAACAAGTAGTAAGAAGCTGCATTGTAACGTTAAATAATGTCCTGGATAGAACGGTTTGCATATATTTATAATGGCTTTTATTATCTCTAGACATATATTTTGATGTTGTTTATTCATGCAGTCTGATACTAACAAGCGTTTTCACGTGCTTTCTTGAGAAACCTCGAAATAAAACGTTTGGTTGTGAACTGCTCCAGGGATCTAGGGCTTTTTATGACATGAATTGGGCGTCCGACTGTGACATGGGGGAGATCATGTGAGGAGAAAATGAAAGCTGGTGGGCAGTCGTGGCACCAAGTCCAAAAGACTCCAGAGAACAGAGTGCAATGGAGATTAGTGGTTGTTGAAAAAATATGGTTTCAAATGACCTCAGTGAATTATCTTAAGCCATAAAAAATTTCAGATAACATTATTTAGGCTAGTCTTCTGAACTCAACGTATACGTTGAAAGTAAAATGTTACCAGAGGCAGACTATTCTAACCTCAAATAAAATCCTTGTTTCTTCAATCCTAAACAATATATGAAATACTCACATAGTTTTTATAAGCCAATTTACGGTAGTTATTCGATAACAACCAGAATCCCGATTCAGTACCACTCCTTAGAAGCATAGGAAATTAAAGAAATGCTGTCCCTTAATCAAAACTGAAATGAAATAGTTTCCCCTCTCTCAAACTTCAACTTGAACAGCAAATAGACTCTCAATAAAAAGTTTCGTAGTGCAGAGTACATGGTAGCAATTTCTAGGCAAACATGGAGATACTTAGTAATGTTGGCCTATATGAACGTGATTACTCAGATAGTACTTGTTTTCAAAGACCACCTTAATGTTGGTCAGAATTACCAAGGCAGAGTAATCAGTTTCTCACCAAGGTTATCCTCAAAATTACAGCTAGCAGTGTATTGAAGGTAATCTGACCAACAATGGACTGGATGGTTTGAAAAAAACTTAGGCACCAAGTTAGTATGATTCATTGTATCGGGTCTATTTTCACTTGTGTAATCCCTGCCAATGTCAGATTCATACTCTTGAAAAGGATCTCCCTAGCAAGATCAAAACGTTGAGCATGAATACAAAATATTTGTTTACTTTGTTATTTGTAGTAATATACTACGCCGGTATTATACACGTAAAAATGCACCTTATGCAATATAGCAGTGTATTCCTACAAGGATTTAAATATATCGACGAAAAGATTGTATATTGACGAATGGAATAATATATTATAAGTACATTTCGAATGAAAAGTTTAAAAACGATGGTAAGCTTTTATTTCAGTAAATTGTTAAGAAAATATTCCACCTGTTGGTGTGATCATGGGCAGTAATTTTGTTCCAATTATTACCAAAATAAGAACTTATCATTATGTGCAAACTCTTGATTAATGATTTAGATTTTTCTGCAAACCTCATTTACAGTTATAAATTGCACTCAACACATATTGATTTCGGCGACTACCAGGATGCGTGTCTCGTCCTACTCGGGACTTGTCAGTTGGATGTAGCAGGACCCCAGTCAGTGATGTGGTTACCACGGGGGGTCAAACTCAATATCCATCGCTTAAACAAACAGGGCCTTTTTCACTAACCCAAGTAACAGGTAGAACGAAACACCAGTCCTAGAGTCCTCTGTTAGTCACCGAGATCAACGTTACATCATGAATCAGCGGTAGTAACTGGGTGTCCGCATAGGAGCCTATGTACCAATAGAGGTCGAGCAATTCAGCCCTGTATAACAAAAGTAAACTACAACTATCATAACAACAATTACACTAAATTCATTTTGAAACAGGCTCCCTGAAATACTACACAACATTGTCACTACAGAATTAAATTCTTCACAAACTTTAAATTAATTTTGGATTTCATCTTAACCTGAAGGCGAATAATCTCCTAAAACAGAATTTATGTGACAAGTAATGGTTTTATAAGCCAATCTAAATACAGATAGCTTATCTAAGCTCAACTAATCAGATTCTTACGAGAAAGTGTCCTAGTCCAATGGGAAAGTATCTTGGCCACACAAACATATTGACTTCTAAACAAAGGAACCAGCCAATCATTTTTCACTTCAAATTTCTTTCTTCCACCCTAAATAGATTAGGGGGGAGAAGTGTCCATGCAATAAACGTCAACCAATATTTGAAGATGAGACATATCTTAAACAATAATCATGATAACCATAAATGTACTTTTGATAACACTTGAAGTATGAGTGATAACAAAATGGACTACGTTATGGTTCATCGAATGTAAATGACTCACAGAGTAGTGTAAAATTGATGAAAATAGTAGATCAATAAGGTGTATGTAATAGGACTAGACAATCTACCTTCTCTTCAGATATTATTTATAACTGCCTAGGCGAGTCATTAATGTTTGCCATATTAGTGGGATGTCTAACCCATCTTTCTGTTGGCCGAAGAAGGGTATGAACAGATGTGCAAAGCTTCCGCAATGGTCGGCTCTTTTTGGGAAAGAAAACCCTTTTGACAAGTCTATTCCTTCTCTTCGGTTTACAGCATCTGATGTCATTCAAATATATAGAACCTCTGAGGCAAATCTTTCATCATATCAATAAAAGCATCTCAGCAATCTGAAAATCAGTCTTACGCTTATCTTCGATTGAATGCACAGCTGTTAACGAACGCTTCTCTAATTGTTTGAGTTCATTTTGTTTCCTTCAGCTAACAATTCATACAAAATCTTTCACTTCACCTAATTCCTAACAGTCTACAACTTTGCACAGCATAACTTGCCTCACATTCTAGACATTCAATTTTGTAGATGCGGTTGGTTTTTATCATCATACGAATTGAGTTTTTCGTTTTAACTAATAAACTTCCACTTATATTTGTTTCACAGTTAAAGTGTCATTTTCCCTATCATTAAAATTTGTTATAATGTTTTTTGCTCTAGGTACTAGGTGCAATACTGCGGTAGCTTCATATTACCAGGATTATCAGATTAGAAACTCAAATATTTGTAGAGCATGAGGGTTTGTTGTGTGCTTTCACGATAGAGTCACCTTCTTCCGTTCTTTAGATAGGAAAATTTATGAAGTCTACAGTCTCATCCCTAGATTTTATTTCGTTTGTGAAAGATCAGTAGAAAATATTACAAAGTACATTAAATATTAAACATTTGTATTTGTTTTCATTATTATTATTATTTGTTACTATGGTTGTGGAATACATTTCCTTGAAAGCTTCTTATTTTAAGTAAGTTTATTTCGTAGACTTTTACTCAATTCTTTGTACCAGAAATGATGTAAATTCATTATGGAATTTATTAGTATTATGGTGTGCTATAAGGTTACCCAGATCCTTCGAAAAAGCCGGAAATCCCTGAATTTTTTCACAGTCTATCATTAAACTGCGACGTTTTTTGAAAGGATACATGATCATCCAGGTAGATATAACATTAGATGAAGAAAAAAAACCAATAGAAAGTCCTGGAACTGACCAAGGCCATTGTAAATATTCACATGTGTGAACGTATATATATCATTATATTGTTGGTTTTGACGTTGCAAGGCGCTGTTTTTGCCTTACCTACTTTCAACTAACCGAAGAAATGAGCGAGCATCAAGTTTAGAATATAAAAACTATTGTTCGACTGTTCATAAATATTTATCAGATTATGCTGACAAGGTTGACGGAGATAAGAATCGTAAACCTAGCAGCTGAAGCTAAGGTATCTAGTCAAATGAATTACAGCTTTCTGTAGTAGAATTCACATATATCAGCACTATTAGAGTGTAATTTCGTCTAAGTACTATTATCCCTGCAAAATTTCCTTTACTGGATGCTTACCGTCATCATGAACTGACATCATCTGGAGAAACATTAGAAAACTAGAATCACTGAACAGTTGTTTCGTCTTAGTATGGGACTCCTCAGCAGTTCGTACCCATGACGGCAGTTTTAAAATTCCCTTGGTCAAAGAATGATAAATTGATCGAATAACTCAGCATTATAGCCCACTGTTTCAGATATCATATAGCTGTGAACAAGTAATCATGAACAGCATATCAATAATATCAACTACTGACCTACAATTTATATTTCTTGGAAGAATAACTTCCAATATATGCCAGTTTAATTTAACTGCAATCTTCAGTAATAAACATTCAGAACTCAGAAGTGAAGAGGTAATGAAAGTTACACTAAGGGTAGAAATGTGCTCTTCGCTTCAGTTCAAACATATACCTAAGTTGACTTGGGAATTTCAAACGACTAAACCGCGTAATACAGCTTACTATATGCATATTCCCACATTTCTTTGTTAATTAAAACGTAACATCACACTTTGAAATATCTTTAGACATCAAATGAAAAGGAAAATTGTTAAAGGTGTAGCTAATAATTATTTTGTACGATTTCACCATCATCATCTCATCAACTATTTATTATATTTCCTTATAGTTAGTTTCTCATTTTATTTACCTTCTCACATATATAAATGTGATGTCATGACAACGAAACTCATTTATTTTATTTTTAAAAAAACTATAAATAACACATTACTATTGATAATAATAGTGATGATGATGATGATAAAAATATTCACTTGAAGGTGATTTTGATGACTACAGTAGAAAGAAGTAAGTGAAGTTTATAACGTAAAATGTTTATACCAAGATTAGTTGAACAATAAGGATTACTATTCATTTGACTGGAGCTAAGCATTTCTTTATGGAAAGCATAAAATTCAACCAGTCTTCTTTGTCATTGTCTATACCAACATATAGTGATTGATAAACATCACAAAAGTGCCAAAAATGAAAAAAAAATGAATTACAATAAACGAAAGCTACATATTAAAATCGCAAAATATTTCCAAGTTTTATTTTGGAATTTTAACTGAATTCATACTTATTACGACGTCTAATGAAAGACATTTTTGAGATCATAAATAGTTGGAGCAGAAATTGAAATGATGATTTACCTTACATAAGTTTCTGTTATTGTACGAGTAAACTTTTCAAAGTAATTACAAGTAGCTAGAATATATGATATCCAAAATCTTATGATTAAGAACTTCTGTCGACCTGAAGTACATACATATCAGGTCACAAAGTTTACTGCAAATAAAGAATGATGACATTCAGTTTCAGGCGGATTAGTTCTACCGTGATGATCTAACACATAATGCAAACTCTTATGTATAAACCTTAATAACGACTGAGAATTTACAAGGATACAGAGTTTCAAAATAAGTGCAAAGCAATTCTTCATAGTTGTCTATATGTAACTGGATTTTCTTTCATCGTAGACTTTGTTCAAATTCATCTTAATCACTACGTTGAAAATAAGAATCTGTTTACTTCATCTGCTAATGAATTTGAACATACTTATAACATGACAACAAAATGAGCCCACTATGTTTTATAAAAAACATCTATTAGTAATGATGGGCAGTGGCTAGCAGTGGAATCCAGGATGCGCATTTCGTCCTATTTGGGACTCGTCAGCTGGATGTACCTGCTTCCCAGTAAGTGATGTTGTTCCCACCGGGACTTGGACCCGGGAGCGATCGCTTCAAACGCCAGCGCGTTATCCACTACACCACCGAGTCCCACATAGGACGAAATGCGCATCCTGGATTCCACTGCTAGCCACTGCCCATCATTACTAAACATAGTTAAAAGACAGGCCATATCGAGGCATCCTCATAGGAGCCCATATGCCAACAGAGGCCGATCAATTCGGTCCTATCAACGACGGTGTAATACAAGCAATAACACCAAAACATCTATTAGGTTAATAATCAACGAGAAGCTTTGAAGTAGCTTAGGTAAAATCAGCGAAAAATATATTACATCAATAAAATTTCAAAAGATTATGCTAAATTTAGTAACTTCACAAAGAGTTATGAATCGTATACAGCAAATGCTGATGAAGTTGTCTAGCTTGATTTTGAAGAAATCATCATAAAATTTCATAACTCAGCGAACATCAAGTTTTTCATAAACTAATATTGTCTATCTCTTTTATTCATCAGTAAATTTGTTTTCACATGAGGCACAATGGTTCAAAAATATGCTTCAATGGGGAGTAAACAACTGCCAACAACATAGTGTATCAACATCTCATATTATATGCACTTTACTTATATTACTCTACTATTCATAGTGCATATATAATTTTTTTAAAAACTGGTTGTCATAACAACCACATGTAAAGAAAGGTCACAATGTGAATTTTACAAATAAGTCATAAAGAAATCATTAGGTATTGTATGAATTAATTCTTATTAATGATAAATATAATTTAGTAACATAAGTGGTGAATGTTTTCTATAAAAGAATCGATTCACATAGATCATTTTTCGTCTGAACAATCATTTTGTCACTTTATAACTACTAAAGTTTTAACAAGGAATAAGTTTTCACCTCATTATAACTGTTATATGTCATTACCATGAAAACGATCACATGTCCTGGCTAAATATGTGCACTTTTAAGCATTTGGAGTAATTGAAGAAAGTATTATTGGATCATTTGTTCGATGAAATTCTATCTTGCATAAATACTTTCACAGTAATTTCAGATAAGTCAGTCCAATACAGTTAGGCAATACTGCTGACATTAATATAGCATATGGACAGTCTTCGTTTGGGTCAACAGATGAGTTCAGGAAATAAATTTAACAGACATATTGTCTTTTGAATTACAATGGGAACTTCTGAGACATATTTCTTTCTTTAGTGACTCGATAGTATTCAGAGTTTCACGTTTCAACCCATTCAGAACCCATACATTTAATGTATCTGCTTCCAAGTGAATTTTGGTGTTCTTTATGGAAATCGCTTCTTCAGAGAATAAAACCTGTACAAGTTGTCGATTGCTTAAATGGTATGTGGTGACGAATCAGATTACATTGTCTATACATGATAATAATATGAACTTAAATATCATTATTATCTGATTATTATATCACTATTATCATGTATAGACAATGTGACCTGGTTCGTCACCACTTACCATTTAAACATTGGATATCTTGTAGAGGTTTTATTCTCTGAGGAAGCGATTTCCACGAAGTCGCAAAATGTCAGAAAATTATTTTTCTACTTCATTAGGACTTTACAAATATATTCCATTTGTAAAATATATAGTTATCGAAATGTAAGAAAAGCCTTGAGTTACTACATGGTTCATGAAGTTATTTACTTCGTTCAGTTGCTACAATTGTCTCTATATCTACAATTCAATCTGTCAACCAAGATTATATTAGATAGTACAAATAATGTGTAGTGATAAACTAAAACTTCATCAACTACAATATTTTATGCTAAATAAAGAATAAGGCTTAGAAATGACTTGGCAACAAAACAGTTGTAGCAAATTCGGCTGACTTACTTTTGCTGAAATAATTCACATTTAGCTAATGCGCGTTCACGATTTGAAGGATTTCTTTCTGCTACTTTTCTGCCTAACTCCAAAGCTGCATCCACTCGATCTTTACATGTCAATAAAGAGAAATGGAAAGTTTCGTACTGCTTTTGTACATCACGAACAGTATCCAGATTGATCTGTAAAAATTATGGGTGAAAAGAAAGTAAGATGACATGCACTGTAACATCAGATGATTAATATAAGAGTAAAACTTGGGCACTGTGTTAGTATGATATTACATTTTGGCATTACACAGTGAAACATCTGATAAACCAACTTAAACGGAATAGTGACACTGATAAGTGGTAGAAAAAGCGCTCACTGTTATACACTATAACTTTGGAACCATGTTAAATTTTGAAGCTTAATTAAGGGAAACGTATAAATTTGTGTGAACCTCATTTTTAACTTGTGAACGTTTAGGCGAAAATGTAAATGTCGTCTATTAAGTGGACTTTGATAAGTATAATTCATAATATATCACAACAGATGTTAGATAATTCCTGAAGAAGATTATTTTATCTGTTAGGTTTATGGCATCATCTACCTAACGAAAAATGTTCCTAAGCGAGTTTTACTTCTAGCTCAAATGCCATATAACCCAGCCATGTTGAGTATCTTGCGTAAATTATCTGAGGTTCTTTCCCCATGTAGCAATACTATGAAGAATTGAATTCTTGTTTCTCAGCGTTGCCTGATATTTGTGCATGTCAGTAATATTTTTCTGTATTAGTTTACCAGGGTAATTCTTGAGTAATAAAGTTTTAATTGTATGTCTTATATCTTGCCTTGTATTCTCCAGGGAGATTTTCATCTCTGTTATTTAGGCATTTCACTGTATTTATTTCAACAAATATACTATGATACAACCCACAGTATGAATGTCAATCGAAGTGTGTAAGTTTTGTGGAGACATTTGTGTCTAAGATAAATTCTTTCTTATTCTTAGTTTGCAATCTCGCGGTGCTGATTCTTTATGAAAACTACATCCATTTACTTGCACATTTTCTACTTGAAAACAAAAAACTGCAGAAGTAAGACATAATAGTACTCCGAGCATGTTTTTTGCTACTGGTGCTGTGTTTTCAAGATGAGACCAGAGCACAAAACATGGCCAACTCTAGAAAGTCAGATGCCAGTGAGGTAAGAAATATGCAGAAAAGACTGTCTGTAGCGATGCATACTGTTGCACGTAATCACACAACGGGATGGAACAAAATGAAAATCCTAAAACGTAACTTATGGAGGCAGAGAGAGAGACTGATAAGTGAAATTTTGTATATCGAATCAACATTGAACAAATTCAGTAAGAATAAGACAGCATTTACATATTATATCTGGAAAATTCTGCTACGAAAACTCCAAAGTAAGAGGGAAGGAATAGAACTGTAAGAACAAGGTAAGAAAATTGTAAAAATACCTTTAGTATGACTTAGGACAATAAACGATATTGGAAATGTTATTTAATAAAAAGTAGTTTCACTGGATGAAACATTCAGAAAGCATATTATGCACTCAGACAGTACACAATTTATACTTTTATATTACTTAAGTTAAATCTCAGCAAGTCATTTAATCCATTTCTTGATTGTCGCTCACTAGAAATCGAAAAGCATCTCATTTATACTTACCAATGCATCCTCTCTATCTAGGAATGTGGACTGTTGATCCAGAGTTACTTCAAGCAATGCAGATTCAGCCAAAAAGCACTAGAAGCAAAGATGAAAAAAATAAAAATGATCAATTAAGGTTTTTGTTTTGAGATAAAATTTAAAAAAGGTAATTATAGTATGGCATTTCGAATGTATAGAGGTGGCAACTTAAAAAAATTCATTTCACAGGCTTTGAATTAAACTATCTGGTTTATTCAGCGGACGGTTTTTCTATTTACACAAATTGGAAGAGTCAAGATTTATTTTCAGTATCTTTAAAGTAACCCTAGTTTCTTGAATGACTTTATTCAATGTTGTTTTATTATTCCGTAGTTGAGTGGACCCAATGGATCGGTCTCTATTGGCATAATTTAAGCAACAACACTAAAACTACACACGTTGTACAAAAAGTAGCCATTGTGACCCGTTGGATAACGTTCTAACGTTTGAAGCAGTCGGTCTGGAGTTTGAGTCGTGGTGGGAACAACATCGCTCAGTGGGAGGCATGTACACCCAGCTGACGAGTCTAAAATAGGACGAAACGCGCTCCCTGGATTCCACTACAAGCCGCTGTCCATGATTAAGATTTCGTTCAACGTTTTAACTCCTTCATTTCCAACTTTGTATATCGCTTTATGATTTCCATGTCTATCACTGATCATGTAGCTACTGATATTGGTTAGCCTCTAATGATGAATGAAAATTACAAGCGTTTCATCTCTGGAGTGAACACACTGTAAAGTAATGCATACTTGTATTTGAAATCACAATTTTCTCAACAACTGAATAAACAGAATAAAACCCATTGAGTGATAATTGTAATTTAGTGCTCAGACTTGATATTATTTTATCAGCGTTTGTTAAGTCAGTTGAAGGTCATTTAAAACCAGTGGCAATTTCGCTCACCATGTGATATAACCGAAGTATATCAGCCGAAGTCAAAAAACACATGTGTTTTGATAACCTTTCGTCAGGTTTCAACTACACTGTTAACGAACCAGCAGAAACTAATATTGAGTTCAAATGAACTTAAGGCGAAAAACTTTATCCATAACCGCTTCATTCAGCCAATACCTTATTGCATCAACAATAATTCATATACTTATTTTTTTGCCTATCTCAGTGTAACATTGAACACACTGAATGTAGCGGTGAAAATGAATGTTTGTTCACTAATTAGAAGGGATATACTATCATAGAATAATATCTGGTGCTCTCTGAGCTTTGATATTCTGTCGTGGATGTTTCGTCACCAAAGATTCAATAGTCCTAAATACTTACGAACACTGAGCCAGTCTAATCAGAAAATCTACTGTATTCAGTCAGTTTATGCCAAATGTTTCCGTTATCATTTTTTTGCAGTTAGTCGGCTTTATATGATAAGGTTTTTAATGAAAACATAAGACGTCACTGCTTAGAGTATCCAGTGCTTTTTAGACTATGCTAATTTGATGCTTGGCATTTATATTAGTATACATTTATATATTGACTAACAAATTAACACAATAAAAATATTAATAATGTAGATGGATTTTTCACATATAAAAAGCCATCATGAAATCATTTTAGAAGGAAATGTATTAAAATGCAAAATAAACGCGATAAATTTTCACCTAACGTTGTAGAGCATGTTTCTGCCCTCAATTTAACATCATTTCCGTCGAATTAATCAACTGGTTTGAAAATTGAATTATACAATACAATCAAAGTTAAACACATGCTACCGGTTAACTGAATATTTGAGTATTTTTCAATATGTTTTGCAGAAAATATCGGTGATTTAGTTGTCATTACAAAGAACATGAGCAGTACTATAGCTATCTGGTTATTGCTTTTTGAATAAACATAAAGGTGTCGTGGATCATTCGGCAATTTAATGATTTATTTTTCCCCCTTTATCCTATTGAAAGCACGTCTGTTTTACATAACTAATTATCATGTTTTACGTTTGATTCAGTTGATCCTATGAAAATAAGTAAGTTATGTTTGTGTTTTGGTTGGGTGACTTATCGAGGCTAACAGTCAAGTATTGACAGCACTAATGTTTAAACTTATGCCGTTTCTTATCTCATGAATACTGGGAGGAATTGGAATCCTGGTGGAGAATAGCACTACAGCCTTTGCTTTTCCACTTACTTCAAAGATACACTACCACCATGAAGCTATGAATTTTCAGGTTCTATAGACATTACAGAGAGTATCTTTTGACATAGAGAGGAAGTGAGGATCAAGTAAGTTCGACTCACTAAGCATAAGTTGACCTTTTCGACCTTACTTTTTATTATGTTATCCAGAATGATAAAACACTTTTCCAGTTATCTGAATAATTTATAGTAAGAGATTATGTGAAAATGAAAAGTGTTTACAGTTTCATGTAAATCTATAAAATGCTGTCTGTTGGGTGAAAATTCTCCGAATTCCTTTAAGAGTTATGAAGTGTAGTAAGTTGTACAAACCAAAAGATTTTCAATATACAGGTTATCGGATATATTTATAGGCCTGTGGCACTTCACTCACACTACGTAATAAAAACATTCTTTTTTTGGCAGCTGTTTTGCTTCTATGACTTTAAATTATCGAATGCAAAAGTAAAAATGCATGTTTTTACCATTTCATTTTGAAAATCGAGAGCAGTATTCATGCTAAGCTCAATGGGACTTAAAAGGAAGGACATTGAACAACAATGTAACTCTTTACACTAAAATGTTCAGGGTGTCAATAACTAACATAAACATATAGATCTGAATATAGCTTACATATGCGGATTTATTGATTGCTTTTACAGGAAAGACTAATCTGATTTCTTTTATTTGTTTAAAAATTGTCAATGGTTTTATTTTCTACCGTCTTTACCAAAATGACGTTAGCCTCTGTGTGTTGGAGATCTCAGTTAAATCTACCAACAAAGTCTAATTCTGCCTTTTTTGTGACTAGTGCAGTGATGAATTTTCAAGTTTTGGGTGACAAATGGTTAGAGAATGAATAGATCTTTATTCATTACATTATAGAAAGCAATATGTACTTCACAAATGCTCATGATTTCTTCGAGACATAACAGGGAGTCATTACTTTTTAGTGAAACATAGGTTACGGTTATCTTGAATGATAAAGGGTGAAATTATTTCAAGCCTAAGACAGTCTGGTTCGCATGATATACATTGGAAAAACTATGGAACCTAGATGCGTTGCACCTTACTTCTTCAAAGCCCGCTTAATGGTGCAAAAGCATTTACTTGCCGATCATACCACGTCAAATGGTCTGGGAAATTCTTTTAGCTTCTTGACTGTTATTTTTGTTAGATGAAAAACTAGTACACAGCTTTAAGTTCATCTAGTTTCCCATAGATTTTTAGTTAAACATATTCCACTGAAGACAATATGACCAGTAACAAAACTATGTATTTATTTACTCACAATAAAATTATTGAAATGCAATAAAATATCTCAATGTATTACTGAAACGATACATTTTAGGAACTCATACCAGACAAACTTTAAAAATTACCTGCAATGCATAACGTTCTTGGAGTCGTGTAGTACAGTCAATCATTGTATTTTGAATTGATTTCCAGTCATCTTCAAGTCCGGCTAACCGTTGTCCTAGCATAACATGTGATGTGTCAGAGTAACCTTTAAGTATCTGTTTGCCTGTTTCAAACAGTTGATTAGCTTCATTTTCATAGTCTTTGATTTCTTGTACACTCTGTTCAATCATTGTTAGACGATTTTCAGTCTCCTGATTTTGTTAAGAAAGATTTGTAAATAACATTATCAGTGGAAAAGTTATGGATCAATTCGTTTAAATAGGGTTTACTAGTATCTGAATATAAGATCCAATAAAAAACGCCGAAATAAATGTTATCCAGTCCATTAAAACTGTATAGGTATCAATGCTGCTGAGTTACAGATATATATTGTATGAAACTTTTTACATTTTATTGTAATATATTAGTTAAAAACGTAGGTGTCAAAAGTTTGCAGAAAAACTAAAGTGCTTCTGATCAGTACGTAACGATAAGTAGAATCGGAATTTAAAAAACCAATGTGCGTAATAGCATGTTTCACCTCGAGATCACTCTTTTTTGATGACTATGATGATGATACTACCATCCTATTTGTATCCAATTCTTTGATGGTTCGATTTTTTTTTGATACAAGAGTTAATGCACCTATCCGCCCTAAATAGGTTTTAAAGTCCAAGCATTTAAGTCTAGTGGGTTCCTTTTTGTTTGGGTTTGATTCATGATGCAGATCTGAAACAAAGGCAAACCGTCAAGTTCACTTCAAATTTATAGTATGAAACAATTTACTGAGCGATTCAGCATAATAAAGCCCGGTAAGCTTAGCGAATGAATGATGGTTCACAGCCAGAACTGTAGCATTACTGACCTATAAAAAGAAGCACTGCTTCACACTACCGATATATGAAAAGTGTGTAGTCATTTTGCTCAGCTCTATCATTCCAGGAGTTAAGTTAAAATCTCGTAAATAGAATAGAATTTTCTTAAGTTTTAGAAGTATGGCTCAGTATCAAAAAGCCAATGACAGACATAAAAAACATGGAAACTAGCAATCAAGTGTACCGGTTCAAGTTACCACACTCCATAGCAGTATACAAAGAACAGGTGGATAGAAAAAGATTGATATCAAAATAGACAGAGTTATATGAGAGAATGCACAAATCATCATCATCATTATCAACATAGGACCAGGCATTACTGCGTAACGGTCCGAGTTGCCACACCTCATATCAGCACATCAAGTAAAAAGGTAGTGAGGTGAAGGATGAAGATAAGTGAATGCAGTCAAAAGAAATATAAAGTACGAGAAGAAAGGAAAGAGGAGTGACAAAATAGTGAGATTCGGTATAGCGTTGTTAAGATGAGGATAATGTGTGTATACATCTGCGCCACTGACTTCGGTTCTGAGCCATATCACCTAGGGTCTCCAACCACTGGTTCCTCTTGTCCCGTGGACCCCAACCACCTAGTCTGCATCGTCCTACATGGCTTAAACCAACAGTCAGAGACTTCATACATTGGTGCCATGTTTTAGTCTGGCCACCTCGGGCCTTTTTCCAGCCTGAACCCACCTCAGCCAACATTGTGTGACGAGGCAATCGGTGACTAGGCATACGTAGTACGTGTCCCAACCATCTCAGTCGATGAAGGTTCACAACCTCGTCGACTGACTTACCTCTTCTCCCTAAAACTCTACACCTAACTTCTGCATTACTCACATGGTGACACCACGGAATACGTCCTATACTACGAAGGCAACGGTGGTCAAACACCTGAAACCTTTTTGTATCCTCCACTTTCAATGGCCATGTTTCACAGCCATACAGTAGAACAGAGCGGACTGCTGTGCAGTACACGCGACCCTTAATAGACAAACGAATATCACGGCGGCGCCATAGGTGGCGCAAATTGGCAAAAGCCAATCGAGCCTTTTGTATCCGTGCAGAAATCTCATCGGCAACTAACCCACCGGGTTGATCCTACTTCCCAGGTAAGTGAAGTGGTCAACACACTCAACCACTTCACTCTCTATTGTTAACCGCGGTACCGCTGAAGACCAGTCCTGGAGCAAAAATTTGCATTTGGGTGGTGAAAATCGCATCCCAAACATTCTCAAATTCCCACTCAAAGTGTTCAGAAGACTCTGCATCTTGTCAGCGTCTTCACCTAACAGGACTATGTCATCTGCATATTCTAGATCTAAGGAAAATTCACCTGTGATCGGTCAACGTCTTTGTAATTAGGTGACGAGAGGGAAACCTCCATAAGAATATCTATGATAAAATTAAATAAGAATGGGGATAGTGGGCATCCTTGACGGACACCACTTGATGAGTATAGCTCCCTGGACAACTCACCATAGGCTCTAACATGCCCACAAGTGTTCGAGTAGAGAGCTTTCAATAAGGTGATGTACTTACTAGGCACGCCTTTCAGTGACAGACACTGCCATAAGACTTCTCGATCAACGGAGTCAAATGCCGCCTTCAGGTCGAGAAATACAGCTATTGTCGGGCGTCTGTAAGCATGCCTATGTTCCAGGACCTGGCGCAGTGTGAATATTTGGTCGATACATCCACGGCCAGGTCTAAAGCCTGCCTGGTTTTCTCGGGCTTGCTGTTCCCGAGCTCCACTCAGGCGTCGGAGAATTATAGAACTTAGGATCTTAGACACTATGTTTGTCAGGCTGATTCCTCTGTGGTTATCACAAGAGGACTTCTCGCCTTTCTTGAAGACTGGGATGATGAGTGACTTAGACCAGTCGGAGGGGATCGTATTTGATTCCCATATACTGGCTAACACTTCCGTTAGCCTGACTAAGAGAACTCTACCACCATTCTTGTATACCTCAGCAGGTAGTCCGTCTGGTCCTGCTGCCCTTCCCCGTTTCAGGCTACCTACCGCTTTCTCAACTTCTTCTAGTGTTGGGGGACCTGTCTCTATGTCCCATTCAGGGTCCGACTGGATAGCGGGCAGCGCAATGGTGGCTGGAGGCCAGTTAAACTGTTCCTCAAAGTGTTCTGCCCATCGTCCCAGTCGCCTTCCCTGCGAGTGAATCGCCGATCCGTCCTTCTCCGCTATAACCTCACTAACTGTTGTTGACCATTTCCCCCCAGTCTCCTTAATAAGTCTAAATAACTGTCTACTGTTACCGATCGCCGCTGCCTTTTCCATCTCTTTAGCCTTTGCTGCCCACCACTGTTCACGATCGTTGCGCAGACTTTTCGTCAGTTATTTTTAAGTTGCGCTCGCTCTTCATTGTACTCAGAGCCTGCAGGGATGCATTCACGTGCATCCATTAGTTTGGAAGAAGCTGCTGATATCCACTGGCTCTTTTTAGCCATTATCTTGGAGTCGGCTACAGTCTCCAGTGCTGCTTTTACAGTAGACTGAAGATGGCACCAAGCTTCTTCTGGATGAGTGACAGATAAACGTTAGTGCTAATCTCCAAGCTTTAGAATACGTCACAGTAAATATACCCGCGCCATTGTGACAGACTTTCAGTCATGTGACCAAGAGTTTTCAACTGCTGATTCCTAACATCTCGGGTACCAGCTAGGTGAACGACAACTCCCCATACAGCTGGGACTAACAGCTAGGGACTTCATGGACAGATTTCGTGTTTTGTTCTGGCCGTCATGAACTCTCTTTCAGCCAAATCCAGCTTCCTGCGGCATGGCAGGTCAAGGTGTGCAGAGGGTCGGTATGCGCAGTATCTGTCCAAGTCATCTTAGTCGCAGAAGACTTACAACTGAATAGACTGACTTGCCTTCTTTTTGCCTGACCTCAACATTGCTAACATGGTGACTCCAGCATACCTTGTACTTTTAACGACCATGTCTGACAGCCGTACAAGACAAAACGGACAGCAGCACGGTGTATTCGTCCTTTGATAGAGAGTCAGATATCTCGCCAGTCAGCCCCATCGATGATGCAAGTTGGCAAGTGCTAAACGGGCGTTCTGTATCCGATTTGAGATTGTGTCAGCAACCAGGCTGCTCATGGTTGATGTGACTCTCTAAGTAGGTGAAACGATCAACATATTCCACCACTCCATACCTTACCATTATACTGGGAGTAATTGCAGACCAATTTTGAAGTATCATCTTACATTTGACAAATGCCACCACATTTTTGTTAACGTCTTCACCCAGCAGGACGATATCGTCTGTATACTTTAAGTCAACCAGATGACTTCATGTGAAGTCAGATGTACCTAAGTTTATGTCCACTACTACGTCTATATGAAGTCAAATAGGATGAGTAACAGGGAGCTTCCATGGCGGACACTACTAACTGTCGTCAATTTACCTGATGACTCTTCATAAGACCTTACGCAGCTGCGTAAGTTCCAGTAGAGAGCTTTAGTTAGCGTTATATACTTGAAAAGAATTGGGGTATGTTCCAGTCTTGAATTAATAGGCGATCAGATGTAATTAGTAAAAACATACTAATCTGAGTTTCACACTCTGAAAATATGTGCAACCTCAAGCAAACTCTTACTAATTATAGAATTAACTAGGAGCATTTAGTTAATGAAGTTTGATAACATGATATTACTTATTCCTCAAAAACTTATGAGTGCATTAGGTACTATAGTATGAATTAATTGAAAACTTTCATGGTATTTGATTTTCATTGACACCTCAAGCAGTTTTTAGTGGATGAAAACCCCCTCCAAACTGTACATATGACGAAAACTTAAAATTTAAAATATAGTATCAATGGGTTTTAACAGGTTGAATGGTTAAAGTAAAGTATTTTGAAATATATTTCGAGATGTCTACTCCATAGTAAGTGGAAAACTCTCATCGATCAAGGGTGCATAGAAAGAAAACCTAATTAATTGCTGCAAGGATCCAACATAAAGTCTAAACAGATGCTAACCCACATAAGATACTGAAAATAAACTTTCTGAAATGTTTGATCAAACAAACATTTTATACAGAGCTAGTGACTTTTTGACGTTATACTTTGCAAGTCTCCATCGCCGACCGGGATGGATTTATCGGCCACTATTGACATATGAGCTCCTGAGCGGATGCATAGATATTGCCAGTATTTTAAGTGTTGTAATATAATGACGAATAGTGGCTAGCAGTGGAAACCATGATGCATGGATCTTAGTGAGAACAACACTACTTACTGGGAGGTGGGTACGTTCACCTGACGAGTCCCAAGTAGAATAAAACGCTCATCTTGGATTCCACTGCAA